TGGGTACATGATAGGCCTTGGTCAAAACCCATAGAATGTGCAACACAAAAAGTAAACCCTAATATAAACTGTGGACCTTAGTTAATAATAATGTATCTATATTGGTTCATCAATTTGTAACAAGTGTATCACACTAATGCAAGTGTTAATAATAGGGGAAATCCAAGTTAATAATAGGGGAAATTGTGAGTTTCGGGGGTGAAGGGAAGGGAGAAAGGGGAAAGAGTATATGGGAACTCTGTACTTTCTGTTCAATTTTTATGTCAACCTAAAATCACTCAAAAAAAATGAAATCTTTTTTATGTTTAAATCCTCACCCAAAGACATTTTCATTGATTTTTAGAAAGAGAGGGAGGAATGGCAGGGAGGAATGGCAGGGAGGGAGGGAGGGTGGGGAGGAGAGAGAGAGAGAGAGAGACTGAAACCTTTGGCATGTGCCCCAACTGAGGCTAAGGATCAAACCAGCAACCTAGATATGTACCCTGACTGGGAATCGAACCCACGACCGTTCCGTGTATGGGGACAACGCGCCCACCAACTGAGCCATACCAGCCAGGAAAAGTCTATTATTTTTTAAAGCCCTAGCTGGTTTGGCTCAGTGGATAGAGCGTCAGCCTATGAACTGAAGGGTCCTGGGTTCGATTCCAGTCAAGGGCATATGTCCGGGTTGTGGGCTTGATCCCCAGTAGGGGGGGCATGCAGAAGGCAGCCAATCAATGATTCTTTCTCATCATTGATGTTTCTACCTCTCTCCCTCTCCCTTCCTCTCTGAAATCAATAAAAATGTATATTTTTTAACTCATGTGTTCATGAAATATACAAGTACAATTTTTTAGGAGTTTCATATTATATATTTAAAATAACATGAATTTTATTCTATTCATTTATGCATAAGTGGGCATTTTAAGATTAAAATTTTCCCCAAACTTTTCACTAAAATCCATGACCCATAAGGATATGATTCCTGTATTAAGAAGCATGGCTTTGGTTGACAGGGAGTCACTGAAGTCACATTGAAAGTGAAAAAAGCCCCGGCTCGGTAGCTCAGCTGGTTGGAGCCTTGTCCTGTGCACCAAAAATGATAGCAGGTTCAATTTTCTGCCAGAGCACATACCTAAGTTGTGGCGCGTAGGGGAGGCAACGGATTGATGTTTCTCTTTCACATCAAAGTCTCTCTATCTCCCTCTCAAATCAATAAACATATCCAAACATATCCTCCAATGAGGATTTAAGAAAAAAAAAGTGAAACAAAACTAAACCAGTAAAATGATGAGCAACTAATTTTTCTTGCAACACAGATATTTTTGCATCTTTATTTTTATTTCCCAGTGTTCATACAGAGGCATATACAGTACCTTTAACTCACTTAGTGAACCTTTATTTTGTTTACAATAAGTATAATGAGAAGTAGTTGATAAACCAACTTTTATGGATAGTGCAGTTGAAACAAGGGAGATATATTTAGATATGAAAGTAATTTATACTAAGAAAAATGTGAAATAAGCCTGCTGAGGAGATGGGCAAAGTAAATGGAATGGCTTAGGTTAGGTAGGTTTAGATGTATTTTATTGATTTCGGAGAGAGGAAGAGGGAAAGAGAGATAAAAACATCAATGATGAGAAAGAATCATTGATCGGCTGCCTCCTGCATGTCCCACAGTGGGGATCGAGCCGGAAAACCAGACATGTGCCCTGACCAGGAATAGAACCCTGATCTCCTGAGTCATAGGTGAATGCTAAACCACTGAGCAACACTGGCTGGGCTTTTTTTTTTTTTTTTAATTTGAGAGAGAGAGAAACATTGAAGTGAGAGAGAAACATGGTTCAGTTGCTTCTCATATGCGACCTGACTGGGGATCAAACCTGCAACCTAGGTATGTGCCCTTACCAGGAATTGAACCAGCAACCTTTCTATGCATGGGACAACACTCAACTAACTGAGCCACATTGGGCAGGACTAGATATGTTTTGAGACAAAGAATTCGGTTTGATGGGTGCCCCTGTCATTGAGAGCATAAACTTTTTACTAGATGTCATTGAGACCCAGTATGACCTTCAAGCTATCACCAGTGCACATTCCTCTTTTTGTTGTGTAGTGTTTACACTGTAACACAGATAACTTAAGGTTGTTTGGGTACTTATTTATGTAGATATTCAGAATGTGAACCCAAACTGTGCCTAATGATTCCTCATGGAGCCACTGAAGCACATTCACAGGACTAGGCTCCTCATTTGTGTTTTCAAGGCACTTTGTTTTTCTTATGAAGACCACAACTGGAATCTTTAACCTCATGCAGAACTCAGCCTTTGAGAGTGAGTGAATTCCTTAGCTCTCTGCTTGCTGGGAAAATACAAGACACCCATTCCCAGATATCCTTAGGAGAACAGCTCTTCCTGCATAAACTATTTTCATCAATGAGAGAATATATACAGAACAGGGTTTCTGGATCAGTCTTGAGTTTGAATTCTCTACTTACTAGCTGTTGGACACTGGACAAGTCACTGCACTTTGTAGTCCTAGCCTACCTGTCTCTAAGTGGGGATAATATCTTGGGTTACATGAAGTAAAAGGTAGAATTCGTCTTTTATGTGCGAGGTACTCAAATACTAGTTTGTTTTCCCCTTTTCCTACCTTTTATGCTAAAACTCCATCAATTCATTTAGTATTTAATAAACAAATGTTTAAGGAGAACCTACCATGAGCCAAGCAAGCTCTTTGCTAGGAGATAGGGATATAATTGCAAATAAGACAGGTAAGCATATGATTTCAGGTGCCCTAGAATTTTTGAGCAATTCATTTCTTTGCCTCTAACAGCAATCTCAAATTCCCACACCTCTCTACTGGTATTTTTGACCAAGGAGTTAACATTTACAATACTTGTGACTGCCCTCACCTCAGTGGATAGAGTGTCAGCCCAAGGACTGAAGGGTCCCAGGTTGGATTCCAGTCAAGGGCATGTATTTTGGTTGCAGGCAGATCCTTCTGGCGCAGTTCACATGATCTCTGGCCCCAGGGCGGCATGTAGGAGGCAACCAACCAATGAGTCTTTCTCACACATCAATATTTCTCTCTCTCTCTCTCTCTCTCTCTCTCTCTCTCTCTCTCTCTCTCTCTCTTTCTCCCCTCCCCCCCCCACTTCCACTCTCTTTAAAAAAATTAATGAAAAAATATCCTCACCTTAGGTGAGGATTAACAAAAAAATAAACACATAAATAAATAAATAAATAAATAAATAAATAAATAAATAAATAAATAAAATACTTGTGACTGCTTTTTTGGCACCACTTTAATAGTGAACTGGTTTCAGGTAAACCGAGTCAGACAGGTTCCCATTGCATAAAGGTTTAAAGTTTACCCACTTCAGTCACTCACAAATCCACATTAAGTACTTAGAACCAAAATCTCTGAGGGTTTTATTTCACTTACTGTGACCACAAAACATATTTAGAAAAATACATGTGGCATCTTAAGCAGGCAATTCATGAAACAAGTTATTCTGTGGCCTTAGAATCCATATCAGTGTTTTTATCTATGTGTGTGTGTGTTTTTAATGTTTCCTTGTTTTCATTTTTGTTTTGTCTTGGGGGTGGTTTAAAATGAATTCTGAGCCAGAGTCTCATTTTATTTTATTTTATTTTTTTAAATATATTTTATTGATTTTTTACAGAGAGGAAGGGAGAGAGATAGAGAGTTAGAAACATCGATGAGAGAGAAACATCGATCAGCTGCCTCCTGCACATTTCCTACTAGGGATGTGCCTGCAACCCAGGGACATGCCCTTGACCGGAATCGAACCTGGGACCTTTCAGTCCGCAGGCCGACGCTCTATCCACTGAGCCAAACCGGTTTTGGCCAGAGTCTCATTTTAACATTCCGTCATTGATATTCAAATATGTTTCACATATCTCTAACCTCTCTGTTCTCAATATGAGGAATGCTTTCTCCTCTTTAAGGAAACTGTATACACACAAAACGTAAATATTTGAGTGTTTTTATAGCACAGAAGGGATTTCTCTTTTTTTTAAAGATTCATTTTGGTGTTACTTTTAAGAATAAAATTATGTTATAATATAGTTAAAGAATAAATTGTTTATGTATATATATTTTTATTGATTTCAGAGAGGAAGGGACAGGAAGAGAGAAAGAGAAACATCAGTGATGAGATAGAATCATAGATCAGCTGCCTCCTTCACACCCCATGCTGGGAGTCGAGCCTGCAACCAAGGCATGTGCCCTGACTGGGAATCAAACAGTGACTTTCTGGTTGATAGGTCGACACTCAACTACTAAGCCACGCAGGCTAGGCAAGAATAAATTCTTATCTAAATTTAATATACCAACTTTCTGTCGCACAAAAACATTATAAACATGAATAGAAAAGCAAAATTTTCATCCTAAAGAGAAAACTATTTAGGATCTCTAATTTCAAGAAAGTAAATTTGTCCCAGGACTTTATGCTCTTTAAAAATTAACAGACTTGCCCTAACCGGTTTGGCTCAGTGGATAGAGCGTCAGCCTGCAGACTGAAGGGTCCCAGGTTCAATTCTGGTCAAGGGCATGTACCTTGGTTGCAGGCACATCCCCAGTTGCGGGTGTGCAGGAGGCAGCTGATCGATGTCTCTCTCTCATCAATGTTTCTAACTCTCTATCCTTCTCCCTTCCTCTCTGTAAGAAAGCAATAAAATATATATTTAAAAAATTAACAGATTTGATTGATGACCTTCTGTAGAAGATAATGAGGGCAGGACTGTCTGTAGGACATTTTCATGGAGTACACTATACATGTTGATACTGTTACAGGGTTCTCCACTGTGATATCCAGCTAAGAGATGACTTTCTTTAATAAAACAAATTGGGCAGCACTAATAAGGTGGTTGTGTTCTCTTCTCCAGATGAAATCACATTACCAAACATTCTTTCAGTTCCCTTTCTACATATCTTTAGAGGATTGCTCTGTCCTCCAGGACCAACTACATAGCTATGCTTTTTTTCCATTTCAGAAATTACCATGGTTGACACAGAGATGCCATTTTGGCCCACCAACTTTGGAATCAGCTCCGTGGATCTTTCCGTAATGGATGACCACCCCCACGCCTTTGACATCAAGCCCTTCACCACTGTTGATTTCTCCAGCATTTCCACTCCACACTATGAAGACATTCCATTCGCAAGAGCTGACCCAATGGTTGCTGATTATAAGTATGACCTGAAGCTCCAAGATTACCAAAGTATGATGTTTATTTTCACTTTTCAGAGTACTAAGACTAGCATTGGACTCAATAACACTGGAGTAAGTGCTCCAGAGACTAAAACTCTATAGAGAAGACATTTACCATTAGTCTACTCATCCACATATCCATGAAATATTACCAGAAAGGAAGGCAGTGTGTTAATCCCCCAGATCATTCTTTCCTTTGTCCCTTCTTCCTTTCTCTCCTCATTTTTTTCTTTTTTGGTTCTTCTTAGGAGCATTATCAAGTATGATTATATTGCCAGGTATATATCAGGCTAAGAGTCCATCACCCAAACTTTGAATTCTTTTGAATACTTATAAGTTAATAAGTAACAGTGTGCTACCTTATTATCACCAAATTACAAATTATAATCCAATTTTTTCTAATTCTGCCATTTGAGAAGCTTACACTGAAACCTGAACTGGTAAGGGAATTAAGCCTGTGGTTCTCTGACCCTCCAACACCCGTAATACTAAAGCTATAACAGACAGCATACAGTATTTGAGACAATTAAGGTTATTTTATAAATAACACAAATTTAAATTTTGAAAAATTGGTCTATTGATAAATCTTCATACCATTAACTCAATTCACATCGAAACATCAGACTCAAGAAAAATTAAAACTGCACTTTTCAAGATAAAACAAATTTCTGTGATGCTATTTCCTTGATTTTTATCTCTTTGTGTACTGATATGCTGGTTTCCCAAAGCCACCACTATGTAATTGGTAACCATTACTTGACAATAAGAACTTCTTGTATTTCTAGTGTGTTTTTTAAGATAAATAATATACATGGTTATATTAATATGTGTGGTTTTCAGTAGGAGCCTAATATGGAAATTTAATACCCCTATTCTTAACCAGTGGGAAAGTAGTGCTAAATTTCCATAGGTTGTTTCACTCTATCAAATATCATTTTACAAACCACCTTTTCTGATGGTATTTTTACTTTTTATGTTCCTTCTGTGTGTCTTTTGCAAGAATGGTTTGAAAATATTTCTAAAATGCAACATTGAAATTAAAATACACAATTTAATATTGTGAAAATGCCAAGTACAGCATATTACATAGTAAAATAACCTTGATTGTCTCAAATACTATACTAGTATATGGGGTGCTGGAGGGTCATAGAATCACAGGCTTAATTCCCTTCCCAGTTTTATTTATACATTTGAAGCTCAAAGATGCTGTGACTTGCCCATGCTTACCAAGCCTACTTTTCCTATGGTCTTTTCATGTTCCATAGTGGTTCTACACTTAAATAATAAAAATATGGCATTAAGGTGTACCATAATGACTTGCCCTATTGCCTTTTTAGTATTGTTTTTCATGTAATAATGACCTGCTCCCATTTCTCTATACACAGATGCAATCAAAGTGGAGCCTGCATCCCCACCTTATTATTCTGAAAAGGCTCAACTATACAATAAGCCTCATGAAGAGCCTTCCAACTCACTCATGGCAATTGAATGCCGTGTCTGTGGAGACAAAGCTTCCGGGTTTCACTATGGAGTTCATGCTTGTGAGGGATGCAAGGTAAAAAGTAATTTTCTTCTTTCTTCAAAGAATTTGTTGAAAATTTACCTATTATTTCATTTCCTATTGCAAACACATGAAAAGGAATTGAGATAAAATTGTCAAACTTTTTTTAAAACCCACTACTCAAATAATAAAATATTTGAAAACCTAAGAAAATTAATAAAAGCAGGGATACTTTGCCTCACTTTTCTTCCTCCAGATTGGTTCTAGAAGGCACTGATCTAATTTAATCCTTATATCTTGCAGCTTTTGTTTTTTTAAGTGACTTGATCAAGGGATCAAGGCAAGATACTGATGAACTGGCCCAAAACCCAGATTTCTGAATTTTCCAGTATTGTTGTTTTTTCACTGTACCATGTAATATTTTATATGTGTAAGACTTGACAGATCTAATAGATGATTGATAGATAGATAGATAGATAGATAGATAGATAAGATAGATAGATAGATAATCTTCATTTGAGCCTTAGAACAGTCCTATAAGGTTGAGCTTATATATGGCCACTAACAGATGTAGAAATTATGAATAAGTAAAGCTTTCCCATGGTCATCCATTAGTAAATGGCAGAGCTAGGACTCCTAAACCAGTGCTCTGTGTTTTCTTACTCCAGCATCAATTGAGTCATGTATTATTATGGGCAGGTAAAGAGATAGAACTATTTTGGAAAGGAGATACTATTTCGCTTCACCTTTTTTCTTTGTGAAAAGGGGAATTTTGCAAAGTTCAAATATTTAGTAATATTATGCCCAAGCATTAAAAAAATGTTAATCATCTCATATTTTCACATGTAGTCTTTTAAAATAATTAATTTTAATGTACTAAGTGAATAAAATAGTAATAGAATAGTTTTTATTTTTAAAATATATTTTTATTGATTTCAGAGAGGAAGGAAGAGGGAGAGAGAGAGAAGCATTAGTGATGAGAATCATTGATCAGCTGCCTCTTGCATGCCCCCTACTGGGAATTGAATCCCTAACCAGGGCATGTTCTCTGACCAGGAATCAAACCATGACCTCCTGGTTCATAGGTTGATGGTCAACCACTGAGCCACGCCAGCTGGGCTAGAATAGCTTTTATTATATACTCCAGGGTTCAGAATAAGTTGTTCATATTTACTTTATAAAGTAAATGTTTAGCTTTTATAAAGTTTTTATAAATATAAAATTTTAAATATTTTATATTTTGTATATTTTCTAAACATAATATTATAAATATTTATCTTATAAAATAAACACTGCTTATATTATATGAGTCAGATTTAATCCAGGGTTGGGCTTTTTTATTCAGCCCTAGCCAGTTTGTTCAGTGGTTAGAGTGTCGGCCCATAGACTGAAGGGGCTCAGGTTCAATTCTGGTCAAGGGCATGTACCTCAGTTGCAGGCTTGATCCAAGGCCCCAGTTGGGGCGCATGCAGGAGATAACTAATCCATGTGTCTCTCTCACATTGATATTTCTATCTGTTTCTGCCCCTCCCTTTCACCCTTCCTAAAAATCAATGGAAAAAAATATCCTCAGGTGAGGATTAACTATACACACACACACACACACACACACACACACACACATATATATACTAGAGGCCTGTTGCATGAAGAGATTCGTGCAATAGGCCTGCCCTTCCCCTGACTGCCAGCACCGTTTTTCCTCCGGCACCTGGGACCCAGGCCTTCACTCCAGCCACAGTGGAGAAGCCAAGCCTCTTCAGCCTTCAGTCTTTGCTCCGTGCCTGTGTATGCAAATTAACCGCCATCTTTGTTGGGTTAATTTGCATACTCATCCAATTGGCTGGTGGGCGTAGCAGAGTGACAACAATTTGCATGTTTCTCTTTTATTAGTTTACTAGAGGCCTGGTGCATGAAATTCATGCACTGGCGGGGGGAGGGGTGGCAGGTATGTGTCCCTCAGCCCAGCCTGCACCCTCTCCATTATGGAATCCCTAGGGAGATGTCCAACTGCTGGTTTAGGACCCATCCCACAGGACTGCTGGCTCCCAAACACTCGCCTGCCTGCCTGCCTGCCTGCCAGCCTGGTCACTCACTAACTGCTCCCCTGCCGGCCTGATTAACAACTAATTGCTCTCCTGCCAGAGCAGTCACCCCCAACCACCCTCCCTCCCCTGCCAGCCTCTTATGGCTGTGGCCGCTGCCATCTTTGAGGGCGTGGCATTCAATTAGCATATTCCCTCCTTATTGGCTGTGGGTGTCGCCATCTTTGAGGGTGTGGCAGTCAATTAGCATATTCCATCCTTATTGGCTGTGGGTGCCGCCATCTTTGAGGGCGGGGCAGTCAATTAGCATATTCCCTTATTGTTATGGGCACTGCCATCTTTGCGATGGCATGAGGGTCAATTAGCATATTCCCTTTTTATTAGATAGGATATCTAAACTAATATATATACCCTTTAGAATAATAAGTACACACAACTATTTTCTGAAATCGTGACTAATACATCTCCAGCTCACCAGTTCACAGACTTCACAATAATCATGAGAGTAAATTGTTGAAATTACACATTATTTTATGGACTCTGAAGCAATAAATAAGAGTGTTGTTGAAGAGTTTCTTTATCAGTAATATGAAGAAACTTTGTAGAAGCCTGCTTCATCCAGTGGCCTAAGATACCATCCTTGCCCCCACAGAACTCACAGTTTTAGTTGGGCAGTGGAGGAGGAGCAGGAAATAAACATAAATATAATAATCAAATTGTATAGTATGCTAGAAAGTCATTAGTCTATCGGGGGGGGGGGGGGAGGGAAGGGAAGAAAAACTAGAGCAGAGTAAAGGAGATCAGTGGTTCCTGAGGAAAACGGGGCAGGGACAAGCCACAGTATTAAATAAGGTGGATAAGCCTCATTGAGAAATTGAGGTGTTAGCAAAACTTGAAGGCAATGAGGGAAATAGGCAAATGTATATTTAGAGAAAGAGCTTTCTACATGAGAGAAAGAAGTAGAAAGTGACTTCAAGGATTTGGGCTTGAAAAAGTAAGAGGAAGGAGTTGTACCAACTGAAATGGAAAAGCTGTGGTGAAGTGAGTCTGTAGGGGTAAGATCAGGACTTTAGTGTTGGATATGCTGGGTTTGAGATCGCTATTAGATTTCCAAGTGAAGATGCCAAGTAAGCAGTAGAACATACTTGTCTAGAGTTCAAGATAGAAATGTGGAGAAAATAAAAATGCACATCAATGACAGAATCATACTAGTTCAGTGCTTTTTGTACCAAACAGGACCAGATAAATTTGGAAGAATTAAAAACTGAGTTTCATGAAAATGAACACAATAGAAATTAATAGGAATACTTTGAACAAAAAAGTGGAGTTAGAAAACATTTCTGAATAGAATTTTTTTCAAGACTTTCCAAAAAATATAAATATTGCAGCATTCAGTTAGCCTCAAATTGACATATTTGCTTTTTTAAGGTAGCAGTCGATTTTCTGAGGATTGATTTATTATTTCTCATGCTATTTTCCATTATCTCTTTTTGTTTGCAGGCTACAATGATTATGGAACACACACATTTTCAACTGCATAAATAAATGAAACCAATTCTGCAGGAAATTATGCAACATAGAGAATTCCAAAAAATTATCCACATGTGGATTTTTATTGGCCCTGATAATGTATTAGGATGAAATGATTGTAACTTTGCCAAACTGCTTAGCACAATTATAAGGGCTTGGCATGCTGTTGGAATGGTTTGCAGAGAGACTGAACTGATTACATGGTGTTTTATTTGCATTACATTAAATCCAGAGCACTTCCTAGAGCATGCTGAAACCCAAATGTAGAGCCAAAATACATTGAATGACATTGGTTGGATGTGGTCATCTTCTAAAACAAAACACTGGAAATCCTCTGGTTCTTTATTTTATAGCAAAGAAAATTCAGTTGCCTAAAGTCACCAGGGCCAGAACAGTGTGAAATACCCAGGCCAGTGTGCCTTTAGCCATATGTTGCTGCTTCAATGTGTCATAAAGACTTAGAATTTACTTCTTTTATTTTTTTTTTTCATTATCTTTTTGCAGGGTTTTTTCCGGAGAACAATCAGATTGAAGCTTATTTATGATAGGTGTGATCTTAACTGTCGGATCCACAAAAAAAGTAGAAATAAATGTCAGTACTGTCGGTTTCAGAAATGCCTTGCAGTGGGGATGTCTCATAATGGTAAGTGAACACTTAGCACCACATACTTTATTATTCTCTTATGGCTGCCAGATCAGTAGATATGAAGGCCGTTGATGAAAATGTGCACAGTTTTTCCACAGAATGCCAGATTTCAGAATATTGTGTACTGACAAAGCATTTCTCATTTAGGTGTGAGTTTTTAAGCTGTTAGTGCAGAATCCTCTCTAGTTGGGCATCTGCCATGATGAGAGAAAAGACTTGAAAATCTGGGGAGGTGATGGAAATGACTATAGTATTTTAAGACAAATGTAAGGATAGCTGTGATTTTTTAATGTTGCTTTAATAGTATTAAAAACAATTATACTTTACTTCTGTGTATCAGTAGTTTCTTTCTAATTTTAATGTAAGAAAATCTTGAATATGGAACTTTAGGTGGCTTCTCAGAATTTAGATGTTGTTTTTTTTCCTCTTCACTATGCAAAGATGAGTGTAGGTATAGCAATAACTTTGACTTTGAGCAGCATACAAACTTGTGGATAAAGAAATATTTTAAAGTTCCACAAAACTTCAGTGTCCATAGACACATAAGAGAATAAAACTTTCTACTTTTTAAACTCATATCAAAAACCAAGCTTATGATTTAGAGTGTCTACCTTGGGGAAGAATGTAGAAGACCTTGTTTTCATGAACTGTAGAACTAACTCAGTAAAATTATGGAAGATAGGCCTGTTTGAAGAAATAGTTCTTGATTTCTATTTAGCTCTGACTGGTTAACTAGCACACAAAACAAATTTTGACATAATAATGTTACTATATTTTTCAAGTATTAGTTTTTTAAGAACTCATTATGAGCTCAAGAAATGTAAAATGTCAAAGTGATCAAATTAAATCCAAAGTCTCATTTCGATGAATATCCTGTTTTTTTCTTTCTTTTGCCTTTATCTGATATCAAAACTGATCTGGTAAGAGGATAATCTTTAAGTCAGTCTTCATCTGTAAGAACTCCAAAGCATCTGTGAAAATTAAATTTTTGCTCCATCATGCTGATGTTTGGTTTTCACAGTGGAAATCATCAAGATATTTTGGAATCATTAATTGGTTGATACTTTACCCTTTAAAAATAGTTTACAAAATTATATTTTTATCATTAATGTTAGTTATTTGCTCTAAAGGCAAGACTGTGTTATACCTGGCCAGTGTCGTTCAGTGGCTGAGCGTCGAACCATGAACCAGGAGGTTGCGATTTGATTCCTAGTCAGGGCACATGCTAGGGTTGTGGGCTCAGTCCCCAGAGGGGGCGTGTAGGAGGCAGGCCAATCAATGATTCTCTCTCATCACTGATTTTCTATCTCCCTCCCTTCCTCTCTAAAATCAATAAAAAACACTTAAAAAAAAAAAAAAGAATGTATTCTGAATAGATCTATTAGCTATAGTAGACAGGAAGAAAATTTGGTCTAATTTTCTCAACAGTTAATCACATCTGCTCTATAGCAATATACAACTTCAGTCATTGATTGCCAAATAATTTGCTGTTTTAATTCCATCTATTTCCTTTTTTTTCAGACCTTATAAAACATAAGGGCATATTTTCAAGTCATGGGTTAGATTTTAGGTGATGCAATCAAGTTGCAATAAACTTAATTTATCTTTATGAAAAAATCTCTGATTTGAGATCATTATCTATAAAACTGCATAGGAAAGCATTGCCAATTCTGCTTTTAATTGTATTTCTTTTTTTGTCCTTTAAAAAATTGTAATTTTACACATTGATATAAAATATATTTCTTATTGCTTGTACATATTCATTTAAAATATATCTCCCTGGAAAAACTAAGATGGCAGCATAGATAAACACCGGGAAATTGCTGCCTCCCACAACAACTTCAAAAATATAACAAAAGACAAAACGGACATCATCCAGAACTACAGGAAGGCTGGCTGAGTGGAAATTCTACAACTAGAAGGAAAGAAAAGCACACTGAGAGCCAGAGGAGCTGCGGAGGTAAGGGGAAAAGGTACGGAGGCTCGCGCACGCAGAAAGGGGCTGGCGCCTGAGGACGCGGCTGTCTTTTTGAATCAGGAGGGAGTCACAAGCTCCCGACTGCTCTGAACTCTGGTTCCGGGAAGTCTCTGGGGACCCAGGACTCATACGGGGAGAAACTGGACTGTCTGGCAGGAGGCAGAACTCAGAACTTGAGGTCGGCTTTCCCTCAGAGGTGCTTACAGCAATTAGATCCAAGAGCCAGTGTACCCAGTGGTCAGAGGGGGACCATCCAGATTACAACTCCTCAGATCCATAAGGGACACACTCAGGGTGCAGACTCAGTGAGCACCAAAACCCCACTGAAGCAAGTCTTGCCCCAGAAGGGTGTCTTCAGCACAGAAGTTCTCCCACTACAGACACAGCTGATTCTCACTGCCAATTGGCCTGGAGGTCAATTCCTCCCAGTGACCCTACAACAATCAAGGCATATCTACAACAAGACTGTGCAAAAAGCCCACAAGGGAGTACACCAAGAGTGTCCACCTCAGGTAACTGGGGAGGCTGAGCCACTGGGCCCTACAGGACACCTAGCACACAAAACCACTCTACCAACACAGGGAAGCATAAAAAATGCGGAGACAAAGAAACAGGTCACAAATGACAGAAATGGAGGAAAGCAAACGACTGGATATAGAGTTCAAGGCCACGTTTATAAGGTTTTTCAAGAATTTTATGGAAACCGCCGATAAATTTAGTGACACCCTCGATAAATCTAGTGAGACTCTCGAGGTTATGAAAAAGGACCAACTAGAAATTAAGCATACACTGACTGAAATAAAGAATAATATACAGAGATCCAACAGCAGATAAGAGGATCCTAAGAATCAAGTCAAAGATTTGAAATATGAAGAAACAAAAAATACCCAACCGAAAAAGAAAAAAGAAAAGAGATTCCAAAAATATGAAGATAGTGTAAGGAGCCTCTGGCACAACTTCAAGCGTACCAACATCAGAATTATAGGGGTACCAGAAGGAGAGAGAGGGCAAGATATTGAAAACCTATTTGAAGAAATAATGACAGAAAACTTCCCCTACCTGGTCAAAGAAATAGACTTACAAGTCCAGGAAGCGCAGAGAACCCCAAACAAAAGGAACCCAAAGAGGACCACACCAAGACACATCATAATTAAAATGCCAAGAGCAAAAGACGAAGAGAGAATCTTAAAAGCAGCAAGAGAAAGACAGTCAGTTACCTACAAGGGAGTACCCATACGACTGTCAGCTGATTTCTCAACAGAAACCATGCAGGCCAGAAGAGACTGGCAAGAAATATTCAAAGTGATGAATAGCAAGAACCTGCAACCAAGATTACTCTACCCAGGAAAGCTATCATTCAGAATAGAAGGTCAGATAAAGAGCTTCACAGATAAGAAAACGCTAAAGGAGTTCATCACCACCAAACCAGCATTATATGAAATGCTGAAAGGTATTCTTTAAGAAGAGGAAGAAGAAAAAGGAACTCTTACCATTTGCCACAGCATGGATGGAACTGGAGAGCGGGTAAATACCACATGATCTCACTCATTTGTGGAATATAATGAACAACATAAACTGATGAACAAGGACTGATCCAGAGACGGAGAGGCATTGATTGGACTGTCGGGCCTTGGAGGGAAGGTAGGGGAGAGTGGGGGTAAGGGGGAAAGATCAACCAAAGGACTTATATGCAAGCATATAGGCCTAACCAATGGACACGGACAACGGGGGGGTGAAGGCATGAGCAGGGGGGGTAGAGGGTAACGTGGGGATAAGGACACATATGTAATATCTTAATCAATAAAAAATATATTTAAAAAAATAATAAAAATAATAAAATAAAATATATCTCCCATTTCTTATTGTTTATAGGGCCAGTAATATTTAAAGCCCAACCTATGTGTTATTGAGGGTATAATTTTCTCTTCCCAGAAAAGTCAAAGAAAGCTATCATGAACTGAATAAGGTGATCTTTGGACATCATGTGACTATTAAAGGAATTAAATATCATGGCATCAAAGGCTTATGCAGTTCAACACTTACAGGATTGCACACATGACTAAGAAAATCCCTTCCCAGGGGTTTTTATGGTAATGTGTTTGCTGCACAGAGAAGAAAACCATTTGATATAACACAAGAAGGGAAACTCAACAACTAGATTTTGATTAGTTTTGCCTGTTTTCCTGATGAAGAAAACATTTTCAAATACAAAGTTTTCTAGGAAATCTTAGTAACTATTTAGATTCATTGCTTTGGCCAATATGAGGCCAACAGTAATGAGGTTTCCATTCATATAAAATTCCTTTTTGTTATTGTTGTATGTGAATGAACAATATAAGCAGAGCCAACGCATATTATTTTATTATTTACTTCATACATGAAAAGCAGCTCTGAATATGAAACATTGACTAGTCAAAATTCTTAATGACTAAATTATCTCATAAAAAATAAAGAGGGACCATTTAAAAATATGATTAATATCAAAGATTTTAACAGCAGAACTTGAAACAAACATTACACTTTGAAAATCTATAAAAATTGTGAGTGCCCATTGACTGAAGAAGGAATATTAATCTATGAGATGTAATGTAATAACCCACCAACTTTTCAAAAGAGGCTCCTTATGTTATACCAAAATCAGCACCTTGCTGTTTTCAGAATGTACAAGAAGAGATGAACATCCCCCAAAGTAAATTTATTCCATTCTGTGTTACTTTTATTTTTGCTCTTTGGTATCTGTTTATTCTATGCATTTAGCTTCCACATTAGCTACCCACTCCCAGCTTTGAAGGAGGCTTCCGAAGTAACCTTCAAGGACCCTAAGAACCCTGGGGAGTGTTGTTTGAAAATCACTGAAACCAGTGATTGCTAAGTTCCTTCAACTTCGAAAATTCTATGATATTACGTAAGTCAAGCAACCTGCTTACTGAATTTTTCACTTTTCAGTTAAGCTATTCTGTATCTTATCGACAATGTCACTGTCTTCCTAAATATTTAGGCAACTGGTTATCTGTCAATT